AGAAGTCCCAAGATAGATGGTGCTATTGCAGTAGGCCAGTTAACAGCCCCCTAGAGCAAAGGCCAGTAAAAGCTAAGAAAATTATTTTCTTTTAAGATTCTTGGGTCGGGGTGAGGGATGAGACGACACAAAGAGATTCTGAACTGAAAAAGATCTAACAAAGAGCTCTCATCATCATCATCTCAGTTACTGTTACTCTTTTTTCCTTTTCCATCTTTAAAGATCCTCTGTTGGTTCATTCTTTTCTCAAATATCTGTCACCAGTGCTTCTCCAAGTACCAGACTTTAAAGGTGACATGAGAAGACGCCTTCCTCCTGAAGAGCACAGGGCTTTCAAAGCTTTGAAAATAAAGGTTGTTCCCACAGCAGTAGGACTTCAGAAAGGGCAGTGATCCTCAATTAACTGTAGCAGAGACTCACCCCTCATAGAACCTCCTCCATACTGTATATAGCCTACTCTATATTCTCATTATGTGTGCATTAACCCATCCTGGCATTCAAAGAGCTAGTTGTAGTTTCCATAAAATAACTTTTACAAAAACTTCTGTCTCACTGATTGTTTGTGATGCTGAAAGATAGAAAAGCATTTTTCCCAGGTTACATAAAGGTAAAGGCATTTTTCTACTGCAAGAAAGCATAATGCCAGTAGTAATCAATGTTTTATAAGTAGGATGAGAATGCCATTAAGATTCTAAGGCAGCATCCTAAGAGATCCCTCCTGTTTACAGGTGGCAGAACATCAGCTGTTCAACACAAGCAATGAGTAGTAGTAGAGTCAACTAATTACCTCCATCCTGCCTCTGCTCAACTCTTCTTTCCCCCAGTACCGACTCCCTGCTCTCAGGGGGAGAAGATAAGCAGATGGATGTGAGCAGGTGCACAGGACCTTGTGCAGCCACCAGCCCTGAGAGCAATTGGCCAACACCCTTGAAGCCCGTTAAACTCTTAGAAAATGGTTTCCAAACTCCAGCAGATGGCCTACTGTTCCCAGTTGTGCTGTTCTACAGCTATATGACTCCATAGAGGAAACTAAAATCTGCGAGTTGGAGGATTGCTTCTCTGTAGTGTATTCTATTGGGCATTTTATGATTTTACTCCATAGCTAGTGCATTTTCTTCATAATGGAAAGCTTGGCCTGGTTATGTTTTCTTCACTGGTAGAACGCCTCAAAGTGATAAAAGTTGTGTGGTTAACACTCACCAAGGACTTGAATATGTTTTCATTTTACAAACAAGAAAGCAGATGATTAACTGAAGTTGCTGAAGTTAGAGGGGGACAAGTCAGGCTTCAAACGCACAACCTCTAACGCACACAGTAAGCCAGTTATGATTGCAATTCAGTTTTTTTTTTTTTTTTTTTTGCGGTACGCGGGCCTCTCACTGTTGTGGCCTCTCCCGTTGCGGAGCACAGGCTCTGGACGCGCAGGCTCAGTGGCCATGGCTCATGGGCCTAGCTGCTCTGCTGCATGTGGGATCTTTCCCGGACCGGGGCATGAACCCATGCCTCCTGCATCGGCAGGCGGACTCTCAACCACTGCGCCACCAGGGAAGCCCCGCAATTCAGTTTTTATATTTATTTTCTTGGAGAATAACAAAATCACCATTACAAAAATCTTAATTTTAATGAAACATTTCTGATTTATAAACTACTTTTAAACTACTTTTTCTATTTCTGACACTTTTCTGAACACTATGAAGGTCAACCTCTAGTGAATGATTATGGAACTTTTCTGCCAGAATATATTTCATTTTCCCTTTATTGTACCATTTAGAATCCTTCAGATATTTAACTTCTGCTTTCTCTCCCTTCTCTATTTCCATTTCTTTTCCCTATCACCACTTACCTACTCAAACTGTGAATGCTATTTTAGAGCCCATTTTAAAAATAAAAGGTCACTTTAAAAGCCAATGTCCTGCATACCTGCTCCTAAATTTTTTACACTTTTATTGTTGTAGTCTCTAATTAGGGATTGGAGTTTGGCTTTTATAAGTTCAAGGAGGATGAGAATTTTTTCTTTGGCATGAACATATACCCACACTGCCTAATGCAGCAAGAGTATCTTCCTAATTCAGAGTTAGAACCCTGATGGAGGAAACAGTTATAAGAAAAAGTGTGGAAAACAAGTGGAAATGCATTTTTACAATGATTCTCCTGAGGACGTCCCCAGATTCCAGTCATTTTTTTCTAGTAGCCAGATTATCTTGGCTTTTATTTTAAGATGGGAAAAGTCTCATCTCTCTGGCTAATGGACAGCCAGTCTACAGGAATTTCCCCCTTTCCTGGACACAGGATGAAAATCAGAAAGCTCTTATGCCATTCTTAAATCCAACTTTCCAGATATCCACTTGAAAAACATTGATATAATGCCAAATCACGAGGCATTTTTCTATCCCTTATAATCAGTGAAGTTTGTTTTTACTTGAATTTTTTTTTTTTTTTTTTTTTGCGGTGTGCGGGCCTCTCACTGCTGTGGCCTCCCCCGTTGCAGAGTACAAGCTCTGGACGTGCAGGCTCAGCGGCCATGGCTCACGGGCCCAGCCGCTCCGCGGCATGTGGGATCTTCCCGGACTGGGGCACGAACCCGCGTCCCCTGCATTGGCAGGCGGACTCTCAACCACCGCGCCACCAGGGAAGCCCTGAATATTTTTAATTGGATAAACAAAGAGTATGGAAGAAGGCAAGTGAGGTCTGAATATGGAATGGAGCCTTATGGAACTGACAATGAGCTTTCTTCTTGCTTGTCCATAAGAAGGCATTTAAGAGCTATTCTTATAGGTTGAATTGTGCCACTGCCCCAATTTACATGTTGAAGTCCTAGCACCAAGCAAGTACCTCAGAATGTGACTTTATTTGGAGAGAGGGTCTTTACTGAGACAATCAAGCTACAATAAAGCCATTACAGCAGGTCCTAATCTAATTTGACTGGTGTCTTACAAGAAGTGGAAATTTGGTCATAGACAGCTACGGGGAGAATGCCATGTGAGTGTGAAGATGCATATATATAAGCCAAGGAGAGAGGCCTGGAATAGATCCTTCCTTCACAGCCCTCAGAAGAAACCAACCCTGCCAACACCTTGATTTTGGACTTTTAGCCTCCAGAACTCTGAGAAAATAAACTTCTATTGTTTAAGCCACTCAGTTTGTAGTACTTTCTTATGACAGCCCCACCAAATAACAGCTACCTACTTAATTTTTTCAAACTTTCAATTTTTCACAAACTTCAACTGTACATTATTACCGAAGAAACCTATCCTTATATTTATATTAATTTAATATTTGATCTCTCAACTTTAGAATAAAATCTATGCTGTTCTTTAATGGTAATGTCCTGGACTTCACGATAAAAGTAATGATAGCTGCAAGAGGTGTGGAGATTCACTGAAAATAACACTTTATAACTGCAGTGAGGCAAGTAGAAGTTAGAGGACTTTTAAGTCACCCAATTAGTTACTGGTGAAGATAGTCCCACGGCTCCCAGTCGCCATGTTTTTCTGCTGTAGCACACAGCCACCCTTAGGTATTAGCTAAGAATCACATATCAGTACAATGATTTTTTTTTTTTTTTTTTGGCGGTACGCGGGCCTCTCACTGCTGTGGCCTCTCCCGTTGCGGAGCACAGGCTCCGGACGCGCAGGCTCAGCGGCCATGGCTCGCGGGCCCAGCCGCTCCGCGGCATGTGGGATCTTCCCGGACCGGGGCACGAACCCGTGTCCCCTGCATCGGCAGGTGGACTCCCAACCACTGCGCCACCAGGGAAGCCCCAGTACAATGATTCTGCCCTAATTTGTCATGTTAAAAATGTTTAAATTCAGGATAATATAAGTAGAAACTTAGATCACAAAACAGGTTGCCCCACTGAAACAGTGTTCTACAAATTCCTGCCACACATTCTTAATTGACAACTGATATTTTCACTGTTACACGGTAGTTATATTTTTATACCATTTCGAGATAAACACAGCAGTGGAATGTGCCAATATCTCAGTTAGTCTATGGGAAGATTAGGATTTTCATTTAAATTCTGCATATTTAAGCAGAGGAAGTGTTCAGAGGACCACGTGTGTATTTGCTAATTCTCAATAATGGTTTTCACAAGTTGCACTGTACATTTTCAGGCAGTTTTCAAGGAAGAATATTATTTCAATTCAAACTGTTACTTTTCACAAAGCTATTTCTTTTTTTTTTTTAAACATCTTTATTGGAGTATAATTGCTCTACAATGGTGTGTTAGTTCTAATTATTTCTCGATACATCTTTCTGTTTCTTTTATTCTCGTTATTTTCTTTGATACTGATTTTGTGCTTTGAGAAGATTCAGGGGAAACATGGTAGGAATTTTCTAATAGCTGATGTGGAAGAGAACTCTGACTCTTGTACCCGAAAGGGGAGGACTGAGATGAATTTATTAAAGTTACAAGTAGATAGATTTCAACTCAAAACAAAGAAAACCTTAAACAGAGCTATGCTGTGATAAAATTGGCTGCTGGAGATGATCTTAAGGGCTAGTCACTGGTGAAGTTCTAAGTATTAGACCATTTGGGGGCTTTGTTATAAGAAGGAATCAAACAATGATTAGATTAGATTGAATGGCCTTTATGGTCTTTTTCATCCTGAAAGTCTGTGCTTCTATGAACTCTAGTAATCTCACAGGATTAGCACTTCCCCTCAACTAACAGAAGGCTTATTCCTTCATATTCTTGATATCCCTTGTGTTTGGTATAGCTGTGTAATTTATTTAATTAACATCCATTTAGATATCACACACGAAGCATCCGTCACAGCTCGTATATGTCAAGTCAGAGGCAGGGTAGAGGTCAGAATTTCTTCTTTGCTACTTATTTATTAGTATGAAATCATGTATCTGTTACTATATTGGGTGAGAACAACAAACTGTCCTATAATCATAAAAAATTTAATTATTTTAACAGTCATATTAGTCTTTGGTACGCTCTATGAAGAGCTAAATATATATAGCACGCCATGAGATAACTGATTACTAACCTCCTTCATTTTTTCCAGTTCATTCTGCAGAGCTTGCTTTGCTATCTCAACTTCTATAAGCTGTTGCCTCAGTTTCTCATTTTCATCTTCTGTTGTTGTTCGCTTTTCTTCCACATTTTCCAATTCATGGTGAAGTCTCACAGATACATCCTTTGCTACCTAAATTAAAGTGTTTTTAACAATAAACTGTAATTAAAGACAATACAACAAATGGGCTTAAGTTATATTAAAAGTACTAGAACCAATATGTATATAGTGTCTACCATATGCCAGACATCATTCCAGATGCATTACATATAAGCCATTTCACATACATAAACCATTTAACTCTCTCAACAATCCCATGAAATAGACCCTATTATTATTCCTGTTTTATAGATGAGGAAAACTGAGTCTCATGGAGGTAAAGTAATACGCTCAAGGTGACACAGCTAACAAGTGGCCAGGTAGTCTGGCTCTCCACTCTGTTCCCTTAATGTCTACATGACATCATGGTTATAAATGTTCAATTGTGTTTTATCACGTGTAGAGATTTCACAAGTCTCGAATTCCACAACAAAACTATGAGGTAGATGCCTCCATTATCACTTATTTTAAAGACTAGAAAATAAAATATTCCCAGGTAGGGTCTGGGGCTTGAATTTTGATCCTAACATTCCAGGTGCTTAGTTTTAAGAAATATTTTAGTCTTTGAGACTTTTGTTTGTTTGTTTAAATTAGTGTGTGCATTTTTGCCTCCTGTTTTAAGACTACCTCAGAAATTTTAGGGTTTGGAAGAAAAGTGGGGCAGCTCAGGACACAGGCTGTGGTTTTGGACTGAGTGGGGAGCCAGCCTGACCAACTACTAGCCAAGTTCCAGGGCTAGGGGCTGGGCACTTAACTTTCGTAAAAGGTTCATTGTGGGCACCTGTAAAATGATGCTACTCATAATCCCTTCCTTACAGGTTTTTCTCCTTGAGAACTAAATGAAATAATAATATGAGTAACAATGGTTGCCACAGTGCCTGGTGCCTAGTCAACACTTGACAAATGTCAGAAAAAGGAAAAAAAGAGAAATGATACAACGGCTTTCATAAAATGTTTTCCCATGGCTTTCTTTTAAAAAAAATACAAGATAATTACACTCGGCTTTTAAATCTTCATGAAATTAATACAATTAAAATTATATTTCGTTTGCTGTCCCAGACCATGAAGATAACATCTGATTTGCGTTGTCAGTGAATCTGCCTACAGTAAAACCGAACGAACAGACCACACCTATCTAAAAAACGCACTTCAAAGTTGAAATTTCTCCACTGGGGGAGACTCTGAAGAAGCAACCTCCCTAAGAACATGGTTCTTTCATTTAGCGCACTCTCCCTTTACTTTTCCAAAAGGGACCACAAGCTGGACAGTCTTCCTTTCTGGGAGTTATCTAAGTGGTAATTACAGAAAGGAAGGAGTTCTGGAAGAAGGCGCTGGGGACGGGGGTGGCTTTCAGAGAGAAATCTTAACTCTAATATCTTCCCAGTGCTGTTCCTATTCTGGGCTTCAACTCCACTGAAGGAGTCTTCACCGCGCTGCTCCAGAGGGCCTGACTCCATCTGGCCTGCGCTTGGAGGGCAGTCTCTGGAAGTCAGATCAAGGCCTGCGCTCGGCCACGCCGTTTCCGCCGCGGAAGGAGGCGCCCTCCTCCCACCACCTCTGTAATCGTCACCGTGGCTCTCAGGGCAGCCCGCAGAGCTCGCTCTCTGCAAGACCCTCCCCCCACACAGGGCTCTTCAGACCCACCTGTCCGTTTTTCCTCTTCCCTTTCCGGCACCTTGACATTCTGTGATTGGCGCTGCGAAACTCCATGTCCCTAGAGCTCTTTGCCAATCACCACTGAAGGCCTTTCAACGCAAAGCGCCCGTGACCTGAGTCCCCACCCACCGCCCCTGCCGCGCGCCCCCCGGGCCCCGGCGCCGCAGACCTTGAGGTCCTGCTCCAGGCTGCGCAACAGCTCCCCGTCGATCTCCCCGGTCTGCGCGTAGCGGAGCCTTTTGCGCTCGGCTTTGCGGAGGCGGTACTGCAGGATCCGGCAGTTTTTGTTGGCTCTCTCCAACTCGTGGCGCATTTCCTGCAGTTGGCAGGCATCCTCCTCGAAGAAAGTGTCCCTCATCTCGTCCATCTCGGTCCTCAGTTCATCGATCTCGTTCTGAGGCGGTGACAGGCCGCGGGTCAAAATTAGCTTCGCCTCCCACCCCTCGGACATACACCGTCTACACCCCATCCCAGCTCCAAATTCTCAGCTTTACTGCTCCCTCTCCATGAGACAGGAATGACCCGGAGCTGAATGAACAAGAAGAAACTAGAAAAAACGGGCCGTCTTTAGGCCTTCCCTCGCTCTCCTACTCCAGCTCTGTCCGTGAAAAAGTGAGCCAAACCATAATAAACGGAGAAACGAAGGCCCAGATTTGGATCTAAATAAAAACCTAACGCTGCTGATCGCAAAGCCCTTTTAGATCCGGAAAGGGCCTAGGGACCCCCTCCCCTCATTTCCTGTTCCCCTCCCTCTTGAAGGCTCCCTAACAGGTTAGCAGCCTCTCACTCCCGCCAGGACACGCCCTAATGCTCCGAGGCCCACACCTCCCCTCCTCCAACCCGTCCCCCACACCCTCCTCACCTTGAGAGTCTCGTTTTCCTCCCGCAGCTTCTCCATCTCCTCCTGCATTTCCTCCTGCTCCTGGAGCTGCTGCGGGTGCGGCTGCGACGAAGGGGGCGCCGCTGCCTGCATGCCGCCGCCGCCGCTCGCGCTGCCCTCTGCGCCCTGTTGGGGGCCCTCTGCTGCCGCCGCCATTGGGGAGGTGGGAGGGACTGCGAGGGGCTCACAAATGGCAGGGGCGCCAGCGACCGGAGAGCTGCGATTGCTGCCGCCGCCGCCGTTCTTACTGTGCATCTGAGCCGCGGCCGCCGCCGCCGCCGCCCGCTCTTTCTTGAGATGGAACTGGATGAGCTCAGACTGCAGACATCCTTCTTTCCAGTAGCTCCCTCCGCCACCGCTGCCAGGCCCCACAACGCCAATCCCAGAGTTTCTGCTGCCGGAGCCTGGGGTTTTGCCCGCAGAGGAGGTGGATGGCGAGGGGGAGGCCCCCTCCGCGCCGCTGCCGCCCCTCGGCTGAGCGCGTACGCTTTTCCCTCGCCAACCCCTGGGCGGCGGCGGCGGCTGCGGAGCGCCCCCCTCCCTTTCCCCAGAGCCGCTGCCGGCTCCTCCTCCTTCCCCACCCCCTCCTCCTCCTTCTCCGAGAGGAGGGGGTTCCCCGAGTTTAGAGGACGCGGGCTCTAGCTCCCGGGGCGGCTCCTCCAACGCGCCAGGCCTCCTGACACCCACCGGGGCCAGGGTCGCCACGGGGGCCACTTCAGCACCAGCCAAGGACTGGACAGCTCCCGGCGCGGCCCCCTTGGGCGCCAGGGGCGCGGTCTTCTCCGCCCCTCCTCCGCTTCCTCGGGCGCTGGCCGGAGGCGCCGTGCGGCTCCCGGTCTTGTTGCCCTGCTGCTGCTGCAGCTGCTGCTGTCGAATAGAATTGAGTTTAGTACCAGCCCCTACCGGGGACCGGGTGGCCGCGGTGGTCTGTCGGACCGAATTGTCTCTCGGTCTAGCGGGTGACTGAGCACGCTGCTGCTTTCTGCTGCTGCCCTCCGGGTGCAAGCGAGCCTCAGTGGCAGCTGTGGCGGCAGAAGCTGCGGCTGTGGCAGGGGCAGCGCCCCCCGTCGGTGGCTGACTCATTGCGGTCTAGGAAGAATCTATCAGAGGCGATTTACAATAGTCTATCACCAGATCACTCTCTTCCCTCCTCACTGCCAGCAACCTTCCTTTCTAATCTGGGACAGAAACAAAAGAAGGAAAGCACACAGCGTGTCTGCATTGTTACAGAGCAAAGAGTGATTTTCCGTAACAAGAGAAGCCCTAGAAAATGAGATTTGGACGGCGCTTAATAGAAGACTAGACTTTAGAACTAGGATGTAGAACTGTCAATTCTCATTTTGCCCAGGGAGGCGCTATCTCCATCTCACGCCACCTCAGTAAAATGAAGATCTGAAAGCCGCTGAACCTCCCATTCTCACGGTAGCAGGTTATGGCAAGGATGGAATCAGAAAGGAATTGATGGGAAGGGAGTTTTTTGTTTGTTTGTTTGTTTGTTTGTTTAAGAAGATAAGGTCAAGAAGCTTCAGAAGGAAAAGAAGTCCAAAGGCTAGAACTGTCAATACCCTGATTTTTCAGCTTTGGTTTCCTCACTATCAAATCTGCGTTTCAAAGCCTAATTTCATGGAGAAAGTTTTAATTGATATTCCCAAGTGTCAATTAGATGAAAACGGTTATGAAAGGGTTTTTCTTAGAGAACACTTGTTATGGATAAATGATACTTTTCTCAAACAGCTCTAGCCCTTAATGTTGCATTTTGTGAGAGAAATACACCCAATTTCCTTTAGACTAGAACTAAAAGAAAATATAAATAATGAATGACTTTAAGCCAACTTCAGTTTCAAGAAAATATGGCATTAAAAATCATCTATGTGGTTTAGTCATTAGCAGCGCTGAAGGGATTTTTCTTTTTCTTTTAATTTATTTATTTTTTAGTTTTGAGAAATAAATTAAAAATCATTTGGAAAAATTTATTGGTGGCTCTGCACAATTTCTTAAATTACAGGTGATAACTTTTTCTACACTTATCTAAATTTCAATGTTCTTGTGAATTGCTTTAGGTTTAAGTGTAATTGCTAAACAAAGTATTTTCATTATTAAGCACCTTCTCAGATGGTATATAACAGGCAAAGGTGTACTTTTAAAGTGCCCAGTCCTTTCCACGAAGCCAAATGCTAAGACAGAATGACCCTGCACCCAAGAAGGCTGGTGCATCCTCACTCACGGTGGTAAGATCAACTTCTGTTTTGTATTTTTTCCAAGATAAATCCATCACTGGCTTTTAAAATCTGGAAAATAGCAACTCAAAACCCACTGCCTCCTGGTTTTTTCTCCCTAGTGATCCAACTGCTTAGTCAGCTAGTCAGTTAGGTGCGTTTTCCTTAGAAATATAATTTCTCTCTAAAGGGCATGACTGAAAAGGGCATGACTAGGCAGAAAGTTCTGCTTAAAAAAAAAAATCCTATTAGGGGAGGAGATACTTGCTAGTTACTTTACTAGCATTAGTCCTGTTATTGTCTAAGTATCATAGCTTAGTCAATGTGTAGTAATCCCTCATTTTATAAAGAAATATTACTGGAAGGCTCCTCCACCTCCCTTTCTCTTTCTGGGATCTCCTTCCAACTCAATTTGGAAAATAACAGTGAACAAAGAAGACATGGGGAGGGAGAGGGAGGAGTCATCCATCAACTTATTTTCTACATGTTCTCCCGGAGCAACATGCTCCTAGAATATCTGGTCTAGTTCACTAGCAGGTCACACTAACCGGGATCACCCAAATAAGTTATATTGCCAATGCAAACTTATTTTTGTTTTGAATTAGGCAGAACCACTCTGAAGCTGAGAGCCACCAGAGAACGTTTAATTCGGCCCCCATACAGCTCTATCGCAGGAGAAAGCTCGAGTTCCAGGAACTCGGCTCCCACAATCAAAGGTACCTGGCTGCTGTCACGTGGTTCTCACAAAGTACCAGGATGCTGTGTCTCTTTGAGGCTTCTCCTGTGAAATTCGCCAACCCAGCAACCCCAGCACGGCCTAAACCAACAATTTTAATCTCAAGTTTTATCTGCCCACTCACCCTCCCCATCCCTTTAGAAAATCCAGAACTGCTCACTTCTTGGCAGAGGCGATGTTTTGAGGCTGGAGCAAATCAACAGCGCTTTCCTTCTGATCTTCCGGGGACCTCAGGGTTCTTACTGTGTCTTTTCGGAGACGAGGAGAGTTTAACTTCGTAGTTTTATATATGCGACTATCTGGCTGAGCACTTTTGACTTTGGACCGGTTCGCCCCAGTTCCACACCCACTCTGTTTCTCCAAACAATGGCGTTAACGTGGAGGCTCAACGGCCGGAAGAGCGGATTACTCCTTGGCGGCCCGCGGCTGGGCTGGAGCTGCGGCTCTGAGCAGGCGAACACGCAAGGTACCAAGCCGTGCCAGACGCTCCCCGGGAAGTGCACTGATATTCGTGAGCTGGCCTCACCGGACTGGGCAGGGGAGGGGGCGGGATTGCAAGGGAGGACTGCGTAGAAGTAACCAGAGGCTACTTTCAAAAGGGAAGAGAAGAAGGCGGAGTGCGGAGGCGGAGGGGCGGGCGGCAAGAAGACAAAAAGGCCAGAGCCACGCCCGCGATGGAAGACCGGTAGCCAAGCTCACAGTCCTCGCTGCACTCGCATACCCCTTACTCGGCGGAAGATTCCCAAACCGCTCGAAATCGGATGCACTGGCTTTCCTCAAAGCTTTGTCCTGGACCGCGTCAATTGCCATCAATTATTTACTTGAGCTTTTCGCAGGGAGGCGGATTCCAACAGCCTTCCGGGCTTGACTGACGTCTCCTGATGCAGCGGCAAGGCGCTGGCGGGCGGCTGCTGGGAGTTCTCTTTGTTCGCTCCCTTTAATTCTCAGTCGAGCTCTCCACGCGGTGCGCCTTCCCCACCCCCAGCCAAGGCGGAGTCTTCAGACGTCTTTTCCACGGGTAGATAATGGTTGCCAGACCAACGGTCCCACAGACAAAGGGTTCTTGTCATGCCACGACTAATTTGGTACAAACCGAATAAATACCGGTTTACAGCGATCCTTTACAGATGGGTTTGCCTTCGATACATTTTCTTCTCTCCTTTATTAAGTTCCAGTTTCCACTGTGAATACAAGGAACAATTACCAGGATCCATAATCTTTATAGTAGTGCATGCGGGTAACAGGAATCATCTAATGTATTTATTATAAGATAGGCATTTAAAGGAAATTCAGGGGGAAAAGGGAATTCAGAATAGGTGCCTTTACGATGTACAAGAATCCATAATACTTCACAGTAATAGTATTTTTAAATGACCGGAAAATTCTCTTTTCCCTTCTAGTTTTGTTTATTTTTATTTTTTGGTGGTGATGGGAGGGGGAGTGGTGTGGAGGAAAGTATGAAGTTCTTCTTACCTTTAAGAATTCCTTGGTGAACTTGAAGACAAGAATGAAAATAAACACTGTCTTAGAAAGGGTATTTTACTTATTTTAAATTTCTCTTACATTAATATTGTGGTTTTGTATGTAAAATGAGGTCAATATCTTGAATAATTTTTTATATTAATATGAATTTTAGTATAACAAATTTTATTTTCCAAGTGTAATATCTTGCATTAAAAATGAAATAACACAATTTAGGAATGTTTTGCATTCAGACAATATCATTACAGCAAAATAAAAAGATGTTCAAGCCCTGGTGATTAGTATCTCCAGCAATATATAAGACAAATATAGCAGCAGGACAAAATCATTCACGTACTCATCTGCTCCCAAATAGATAAATGCCTAGTTTATGCCTGGCACTGTCCAAGGTCCTGGGTATGCAAAGATAAGAAATAGTTCCTGTCTGGGAAGGCTTAAGCATATTGATGAGAATTGGGATAATTTCCATATAATCCTTTAAATACTTTTTGAAGGTGGAAATGTGATGTCTGTGACTCTATAATGAATAGCTCAGACTTTGACTAGCATACCAAAAATACAGAGAAAAAGGCAAAGTAAAATGTAATCACAATTTACTTGGAATTTATGCTAAATAATAAATTGTCATTATGTACTCAAATTTGAGTTGCGATTTCCTTAAGAAATACTAAGATTCATTTAACCAAAATGGATAAAAAAATTTTCAGGTTAATCTTTACAAATCAAATAATATTATAAACATAGTCTGTGGACAGAAAACCTACCTGGTCCTGCTTCTTTAAGAACTTGTACTCTGTTCAGGCATCTATGTTTCAATTTTTCCTAAGGCAGTATTATTTATTTCAAAGCAATTAGTGACTCTAAGTCTAATAAAAATCAAGAATTCATTATCATGCATTCTTAAGCACATTATCATGTGCTTAAGTGTGTCATTTTATAATACAGTATTATGCAATTTCAAGGTTTTAAACTTTTTAATAATAAAGATTAAGTATGAGCAATATTTAGGATGCTTCTTTACTCATGTAAATATGCCATAAGAAGAACTTTTGAATTGGAAATTTATCTGATTTATTTTATTTTCTAGTTAAAATTATATTTCTCCAATTAAGCAAGCACCAAAGATGATTATTCAAAGATTTTGTCAGAATTTAGAAAGGCTTAGGTATTATTTTTACTGTGTTTCAGAAGCAGACTGGCCAACTGACCTTTTAATGTGTGTAATAATAAATCATCCACTCTGTAGCACAGTAATGTGGATCTTTGATCAAGGGAAGGCTAAGGTCTCAACTTCGAAGCCCTTAAGAAATACATAGCTTAAAATATCTACCTTTTGATTCTCATGACTTTATATAACAGCTCTTTACCTACATAGCTTTACAGTTTGCAAGGGCATTTCACTTTGTATGCTCAAAATACTGTGAAGTAAATACTATTTTCTCCATTTAAAACCTGGAGTAACTGAGTTTCAGTGATGTTAAGTGACTTACTCAAGTTCAGTTTCACAATCAGAACTTGAACTTAGGTCCTCTTCCATTGTCTCCTTTTTCATATTTTTCCCACGTTTTTCATACCATAACTTAAAAATCTTAATCTCTAAGCCTGATTTTTCACCGGTATCCTAGTCTGATCTTTTCACATATGCACAGGCTCTCTACATGTGGAAATAATACTATCACCTCAAATGTCATGTGAATTTTTCCTCTTTCCCCTAACTAGCATCGATTTCTATTCTATTTTTCTTTTAGTTGAGAAAAACTGTATTCTATATCTTTTTTTCTTTTAGTGAAATCATCCTTTTATATCCTTCCCACTAAACACTGGGTTCTTCATTGCTTAATATTTTTCCTTTGCTTCTATATCCATTTTTTTCTTTCAAAATATTTCCTAGGCTTATCTTTTTTATTAAACTTCCTGTGCAATCACTATCAAAACCCACATCCTAAACTACTGCAAATACTTTCTATATTAGATAGATTCTTTTTTTTTTTTTTTTTTCCCGGTACGCGGGCCTCTCACTGTTGTGGCCTCTCCCGTTGCGGAGCACAGGCTCCGGACGCGCAGGCTCTGCGGCCACGGCTCACGGGCCCAGCCGCTCCGCGGCATGTGGGATCTTCCCGGACCGGGGTACGAACCCGTGTTCCCTGTATCGGCAGGCGGACTCTCAACCTCTGCGCCACCAGGGAAGCCCTAGATAGATTCTTTCTGCTAAATCCACACTGTCCAATGCTGCCAGTTTACACCTTTATTAAACAAAATTTTCCTCATGTCACTCTTACAGTCACTGCGTCATGTTCAAACCCTTCTTCCTAGACTTTAAGGGGCTGCACTGTCCCCATCCTATGCCAAAATGTATTCCCTAATACATATTCTCTGTCTTCTTAGACTTATTGTCTCTTTTCCCCATAAGTATGTGGTCTTGTTTTGCTTGTGTACTTTTCCTCTTGTCATTTTCCATACTTGGTATGTCTGTCTTCCTTTCCTGTCCAAAAGTTACCCATGTTTTAAGGTTTAGTTTAAGTTTCAAATCTTTCTTTCATATGAATTTAGGCAAGTTATTTAAAATTTCTGCACCTCAGTTTTTTTCACACTAACGCATTCATTCATCTATTTATAAATGTAACATATATTATTGAATTTATTTTAATAGACCTAATTTATGTGATAATTAATACAATGGTGAAAGTAATTCATATCGCAGTGCATGAAACATGCTCTAATTATAGCTAATGATCAGTGATAATTACTATGTGCCTGGCACTGTAAGCTATCAATAAATGTTAGCTATTATTGTCAATTAATACTTTAGGAATATAATTATATTACACCAAATTCTACTATTCTTGAATTTCCACAGAACTAATAAACAGTGTGACACTGTTAGAAACACTTGGTTAATCTTGGATTATTTTATAATTGTCCACTCAGATAGTAAATATCTTAAAATTATACTCTTGTTTCCCTCATTGTCTTCAGCAGAGAGCTGGGCACATTGAGGCTGGTTAGTATAGAGATTGGATTGGTTGGTAAATTTCTAGTGACGGAGAAAAGCTGATATTTTCAGATCCATCCTCTGTTTTTGGAGAGTAATTTAGCTTGGATATGTGCCATTGTCTTGACCTTTACTGACATATGTATGCAGCCACCCACCACATTTGTTATCTGGGTTACATTTTAGATAATAATTTAAGAATCATAGACTCTTTGGGTTGTAAACACCATGATTTATCTTTTTATCTCTAAGCAGGCTACCCACACCATATAATACTTTGGGTTTAGCCTAATTTCAGCCCTCTCAATAAAGTCTGTTCTACAATCTCTTGGACTAAATGTACACATATTTTAATTTAACATTAGGACCAAAAACCTATGGTTTAATTCGTATACTGGATTAAGATTGCTACTTGTGAATGGCAGAAATTGCTACTCTACCACAGATGTTTTATTCACTCTTGCTTTTGCTGTTGTGGAAGTTTGCAGTTGGGTATTGCATAGCCAAACTTCTGTTGCATTACTTCTATAACTGCTCATGAATATCAACCTTTGATAATTCAATTTAATGTCATTATAGCCAAAATATTATCAGGCATCTGATTTCAATCCCATTCCATATTCAGTCTTAATCTTAGTGGAGATTTTTAACAAGTCTAGTAGTTATTATGTAAATGTTATAAACATTTAAGTTTGTTATTAAATTTCCCCTAATTCTACTAGTTTAATAGCTCAGAACTGTCAAATTTCATATAGCAGTGCTTTAATAATTTTTTATCTTCTTACCCTAAATCCTCCTTCATCAATAATTAAATTTCCCTAATATGAGTATAGTAGCCATCCTAAGTTACTCTATACTCCACTGGGAAATCTTAGTACAACTTTTCCTATATTCTATTTGTAAATATTGTCTCCAGAATGTCTTTTGCCTTTTGACTTTATGGTGTTTTGCACAAAATTTTTAATTAATATGTGGATACATTTTTCAATCATTATATTTATAGCTGTTAGTCTTTATATCTAGCTTAGAAAGGTCTTCCCATTACAAAATTATAATTATATTTTATGCATAGCTTTAATTCAGATATCATTTAAAAAAATTTTAAAGTTAGTTGTTTCAAATAAATCTGGAAATTATTTTTGTGAATGATGTGATATAGTAATTTAAGTCTGGTTTAAGTAAATGAATAATCAGTTATCCTTTCTCCACTGATAATCGTACTAGTTGTTGTTGTTCTTTGTCTTACTGTGATGATGAATGTTATAAATAACATCTTTTGATTGCTAATGAAGGTAGTCCAACCTTTCAAGTATTTTATATGATTTATAAATTTAATCCTAAAAATACATAGGTACTGATATTACCCCCATTTTATACATTAGGATTTCAAGGTTCAGTGAGATTAAATAATTTTCCCAAGTCACAGTTTAGTGTCAGACTCAGACTTGAAACCAGCCATGCTAGCT